TTTGAGTAACTGCAAGTAAAGATACTCGCTAATATATAGTAGAATTTAAATTCCAAAAATAAAAATATATCAAATAAATTATTTGATAATTCAGTTTGCATTTAGTGAATCAATGAATTAATTTTGGGTTAGCTTTTGTCTCAATGTGTTTGTCGTTGTGCAGGAAATTTGATTTAATTGTTGCTAAGATACTTACTATTATATTAATCTACTGAAGTTTGCTTCCTTGATTTTGTTTCTTATTTCATCATGTCTTTTACTGAAAGAATACAGACTTCATAAAATGATTCAACCATCTTATTATTTCCTAAGTTATAAACTAATAGTTTTAATTTTATATTTTTTGCACTAGAGGCGTGTATTTATCTTTAACTTAAAGCTCTTCATAATTGTTTTAAAGTTTATGTTGACTCAGGCTTAAATATTACTCAGCTCTATGACTCATTTTCTACATTTATATTTCATCTTTATGCACACTGCAATTAATATCACATTGCAATTAATATCACATTTCCTAAAATTGAGTGCTTTTTTCATTATATATGCAAAGAAATTCTCTTAATTAAATCATCTGCATGTCCAGTTCAATTTATAAGTACTATCAGAATAATCATTAAATGATGTTGAAATTAAAGTTAAGGTGGTTTGATAATCCTGAGATCCAGGTTGTAATTTACATTTTGGATTAGCAAGTAAAGAAATAAATCAATATTAACCTTTTAAAGACAGGATGGCCATTATAGTGGTCATAGAGTCCTCTGTTTGAAAGAACGGGGTTGTCCACTTTAGTGGCCATGTCTTTTCCCCCCATTTTTCAGGCTGAAAGAGTGGGGTGAGATGTCAAATTTGACATCCCTGGTGTTTTAACCTCTTATCTCTTTCAAAGGTCTTTGTGTTAAGAATCCGGTTTTTCCCCTTTCAGTTCTTGTAGCTACATAGCTACAAGAATTCGTGATAACTGCGTTTGTAAATTGTAAACAGAGCCTTGCGTTGCTTTAGAATATTGCATATTTTCGTAAGTATTTTAGTAATTATTTTGACATTTTTCTAGCAATATGCCGGAAGAAATACGAAAATTTCTTCAAGAGCTTGATGATGAAATATATACACATACATATATCTGTATGTTTATACATGCATGCATATGTGTGTCAGTGTGTGTACATACGTGTCTGTATATACGTTATTCCCATTTAAGGGTATGCATGCTTTCTGCTTATCTGCACTTATACCATATAATATCAGTGCAGACATACATACTACATGGATAAGTAGGTATGCATTTCCATAAACAAATATAAATTCCCACGTACTTGTATACATGTACAAGCACTTTTTCTTACATTCTTATCAGTTCATTCTTAACAGTTCTGTCTGTCTGTATTTCCATATACAGTCAAAAGTCGTTAATCCGGACTTGTCAGGACTTCGGCGATTCCGGATTATAGATCATCAGTTTAAATCTGGTAAGATGGCGTGCAGAAATTATAAAATTAAAAATATGAAGCCATAATTTATGAAATAAAAAACAATTATGATCTAAAGGGTATCAAAATTTACAAAAAAAAAAAAAAAGAAGTTTAATATTTATTTGTTTAAACATTTCTTTCAATGTAAGTTGTTTAAGTTGCTTCATTTTATGTGATAATACTTTCTCTTTAATTCTATAAACAGACATAATTTCTTGTTCAGTTACAAAGTTCCGCTGTTCAAATCCTATAATTGCTGTGTCGAGAATACCGACTAATTTGTCAATTGAAATTTTTTCGCTTTCAGTAACCTCTGTGTCACTTTCTTCACTATCGAAAGCGAATTATAATGACGAGGAATTTGATTTAAATCATATCAAAGATGGAGTACATCGAGATGAAATACTACATTTAGTAAGGAATTATAAGCCAAATAAAATAAAAACATCTGCCCTAAAGATAAGGATAGTGCTGACAGATCAACTTCCAATTCATTGTGCGCTGCGTCGTCCCCCCCTCCCCGCAGAGCAGCGTGAAATTGATAAACAGATTTTGGAATGGTTAGAGAAACAAAGGATATGGCTTTATCCGTTTTTTTTTTTTTTTTTTTTTTTTGCAGCAATTCCACTTTTTGTTTGATGGACATCGAAACATACTTTCGCTTTGTAGATCCTTTGGGAGCTCTAGCATCGGAAATTCTATTTGACATAATCGAAAGTTCAAGCTTACTTTTATAAAATTGTTCTAACAGTCTGCAAAAAAATGATAAGCCAGATCCAATTCGAAGATTAAGGAAAAACGCAATCTGAACATTAAACTGAAATAGATAACTAGATAATTTTAGCTTATACCGTCTGTTATACATTAAACGCGCATGCGTAAACGTATTATGCGCATGCGCACACTCATATGCACAGACGTAAAGGTCTTACGTGCATGCGTCTGTGCAACGCATGCGCTGAAAGTTTGTAGCTTTGAGGTCCGAATTAATGACTTTTGACTTTATATATGTTTATGCTGAAGTGACCTTCACACATGGAAGTTTACAGTGATAGTACTGTTATTCAGACAAATCACAAGAACATAAATATAAATTTTGTGTCAAAGAAACAACAGTAGTTTTACAATTTCAGTCTGAAACCTGGAAATCGTAAATACACTAAAACTAGTCAATCAGTTGAAAGGTCATCTCTAGCCGTTAGATTCCAGATGTACTGATGTATTTATTTTAAAAGGTACCTCCATATCAGTGTCTCGATTTCACGGTCAAATAATTTTGAAGTAAGATTCAGAATGGATTAGAGTAGCATTTGAGAAATTTCAGTGTCCCTTGAAGCTTCGATAATACAAACAGAATGTAAAAGCTCTCAAATAATGTACAAATCATTATTCTAAGACAACACATGTTCCCCATCTGAATTTTCTGAACCTTGACCTTTTAACTGATTGAATGCCTTTGTCATTCATTAGACATATATCTCAGCAACTACATTCAAGGACAAATTCGGGGGGGGGCATACCTTGGGCACTCAGTTATGAAATAGTTTTCGATTATGACAGCATAATGACCGAGGTTTTAATGAAACCAATGAATAGCTGCCAAATTTTCAATAAAAAAGAGAAAAAAACAGTTAATTCAACTGTGTCAGTATAGATTTCGCATGACCTGACAATGAAGATTTTTTTTTCAGTAACTGCAAGTAAAGATACTCGCTAATATATATCAGTAGAATTTAAATTCCACCATATAAAATATGCCGCCATGGTTGATGTCAAAGCTGCTACAAAGACAGTCTGGAGTTGAAACAAACTGGTTTAAACAATTAGAGGGAAATAGAAAAATTCACATGCAACGACAACGATTTCAAACAGGAGAGAATTTTTGCTGACCGAGCACCCGAAATTATCTGGAAATTTTCTCTTAATGTGCTAAATTATGTAGCATAATATAAAATAACAGAATACAGTATGAATGACAACAACTAATTATCAGTGTGTAACTTTTGTCCCGCAGTTTTTGCAGACACTATGCATAACAACAATTTTCCGTTCAATTTGAAAAACATTTTGCACTAAGAAATTACTTTAATTTTGATACCCGAAGAGAATACATTTCCCTAAATGAGGCTGGGAATTTAGTTTTAGACAATGGGAAAAAGAAAAAGGCAAATGGAATTTACATTTTGAATTATAGGTTTGCATACTAAATAATTTGACATTTTTAATGACTTAAATTCATTCTATTAGTAATACTTGAAATATATCACTTACTAATTTTCAGTAAACAGTATAAAACAGTACATGATTATATAATTTTTTTTTTCAAATTTTTAAAACTAAAATATTCTAAAAAACAGTTTTTGAGCGTCTATTTTATTATGCATTAATTTTTGAAAAGAACTGAATTTTAATTAGTAGCACTTATGTAGTTGGACATTGCAATACTAACAGTCTACAATAAAATAAAATTATTTTTATTTAAACTAGTTATATTCTAATTTGTTGAAAGTTTCCTCCTTAAATAGTATGTTATCAAGCAGATTTTTAACAGTTTTGTAAAATTAAAATTTCATTATGCCTATAGAGCATAATTTTTAACAGTTCCACTGAAGTTTAATTTTTAATTCATTTCTATAGCTTTAAGCGTTTTTTTAATTATTCCGTGTATGGAAGAAAGTTCAAAGATAATATATGCCAAAACAAATTTAAAATTATAAGGACATTTAACAGTAAAAAAAAAAAAAAAAAAAAAGACTGAGATGAAGACTAGTTAAATTTTAAATTGTCCAAGGAAGTGATCAAATAGTTGAAACGTTTTTTTGACATAACATTAATATAAAGATACAATAGAAATAATTATTGTAGGCACTTAGTAAAGACACAGAGTTTTGCAGTGTAATTTAAAATTCAAACCAAAATTTTATTAAAACAAAAGTAACGTCCTATAATATAAAGAATGGCATTTTCTGCAACGGAGGTTTACGCATTTTCCAGTATTTTCAATCCGGAACAACTGTAATTTTGAAATTTTTCCTCAGTGACAAAAAGCATCTTGAAGTCTGGTCCTTACATTTCCCTTCCTTTTGCGACATAGATGCACCCCTCTGAGAATACATTAAACTACACAAAAGAATCTTTGTTGCAAAAAGGAGGTGATTTCTTAAAGGGGGGAAAGCATTTGGCTCAAGATTCCCTGTTCTTTCAAGGCTTTTACTGCTACCAAAGCCCCAGCCTCAAAAGGTTAAAAATACTTTGGCTGGCATGGGTGCTGTTTCCATATTGATTTCTTATATGTTACTAGTTATGCAAACAGAAAATGAAAAATCTAGTATAAATAGTATAGAAATGTGATGAATCTTTTACAAACTGTACTGCATCTTAAATGTTTCAGGGGTTCCCTTGGAAATGAAATTTGAAGTTCTTATGCTTCCTGCCCTTATCACTAACTTCTCAATAGATAATAATAATAATAATAATAATAATAAAAATCATAGACAGTATAATTATTAGTACCAATGTTTATATTACCAGAAATAATGGGTCAGAGATTCTACTGCAGTTTTAGTCAAAATTTTCATGTAAAAAGCATGGCTGAAAAAAATTAGAAATTTATGTAAATTTGTTGTCGTTTTTTCCTAATCTTAGCATTTGCACAATTAATTTAAGAACATTCTTTTAAATCTAATAATTTTCACATTTAATTTCATTGCAGCACAGAGAGACAAGAAGTTTGTCAAAAATGGTTATGCCTTGCAGTGGATCTTCTAAAGATTCTAGTCAACAAAATAAGAATGGAGAAAATGGCCACTGTGCATTTGAAGACTTAGATCACTCAGTTCTTCAGCAGCCATTAAATTTGGGAGTGACAAATGTCAGGCAAATATTGAAATGCATTCAGAGTGGAAGTAAAGAAATAAAAGACATTATCCTCAATGAATGCAATATTGTTTATGAATGCAAAGTGTGCACTGGACTATTTCGTAGTCTTGCAAATTTCATGTATCACAAAAGATGTTATTGCAAAAAACACCTCTGTGAAGAAATGGTATTATTTGAAAACTTTGAAGAAGAAACACCAGTAGTCATCCAGCCAGAACCACCCACTGACTATAATGCAAAAACATCACAGAACATTGCAACTACACCTGAAATACTAGAGTGTACAGTCGACTTAGTTAAAACAGATTTGGCTTTTACAACTGCATTTTCAAGTACAGACATAGCAAGTAAACCCATTTCTAAAAGTTCAGATGTTCCAAAAGAGAAAACAGTTCCATCTGGTGAGAATAAAACAAAGGGAAAAGCCACTGAAGATAAAAATATGTCGCAAACAGATAAAAATGAAAATACAATGATATCAAGAAGAACCAGAGAAAAAAATGCTCAAGCTGTACATTCTACAGTTGACAGTAAAATGACAAAAGCTACGTCTTCTGATGAACCACCAGCAAAATCTGTGAAAATCACAGTAAAAGAAAACTCTGTGAAAGCTAAAGAAAGTGATGCCCCTAAAACTAGCCCTGTCAGCACTAGAAACAGCAATGTAACAACCAGCTCAAATAAAAATACTGAACTAAAAGAAACTGAAATAGTAAAAAATAAAACTATGACAGATAAAAATGTTCAAACCTTTCCAAAAATTATTTTCAAAACAATTGATGGCAATTCACATGCTGTTTTTCAAAGTACAGAAAAAAAGAAACTAGACAATAATAATATTAAAACTAAACTTGAAAGTCCGATAGTGCAGACAAAAACAGATAATGATAAATTGATCATTGTTCTGAAAAAAGACCTAAAAGTAGCATCATGCTCTGATTCGAAGTCACCTGAAAAGTCTACTAAAGAATCCTCAAAACAAAGTGAGTTTCATTTCACAAGACGAAAGAGACTCATGACTCGTAATGATTGCAGTGTGCACGAATTAAAGTGCCTTGTATGTAAAACACAGTTCATGTCATTGAAAACACTGTATTTCCATATGCTGTCTTTACATTCTAAAAAACGTTTATATTATCCATGTCCATTCTGTAAAACACTTTTTGTTCAGATGTATGGTGTCACTAGGCATTTAATATCTATACACAATAAAACTAAAGAACAGATTAATAAGTTGCGGGATGTAATAAAGAAGAAGAGTGTGTGGAGGAAAGTAGATGATGTGAATCCTTCAAGTGATAATTCCCAAAGTCCTTTGAAAACAGAAGACTTCCAGCAAAAAGGAGAAGAAAAAAATGAAGTTAAACCTAATCATAACACTTTTGAAGTAAGTTGTCATGAAAGTTCTCCTATAAAAACAATAATAAAAATTGGTAAAAATGTTACACTCCATCAATGTTCCAAATGCAATAGAGTTTTTGGTAGAAAATCATCCCAAGTAAGCCATGAAAAATTTTGCATTATGAATGCCATAAAGGTAGAGACTGTTGATTTGACAGGAAGTCCAACAAGCCCACCACCAACGGTCTCTTTTACGTCTCTGTCTCCAAAACAAAACTCATCAGAGCAGCAAATAAGCAAATCCACTCTAACAATTAAACAGCCATCTTCAGATGTTAAAATTAGTGCCAGACCAAAAAGAGGTGCTGAAAAGCAAATGCATAAAGACTTTGTTAACAGTCAGACTCTGAAATGGCGATCTGCTAACAGAGTGGATACAAATGGTAAAGCTGTTTCACCAATTAAAAAGAATAATGCTAAAAATTTAGAAAAAAAAGTTTTGAGTATAATGAATGCTGAAAATTTATTATGTTTAAAATGTGATAAAAAATTTTCTTCTTATTCAAATCTGAGACGACATATTGCAATACATGTTGGATGGACACGTTTCAAGTGTAAATATTGTGAATACCAAGCTTATAACAAATCGCAGTGCTGGTCTCATGTTCAGAAAGCGCATGCTATAAATGAGTCTGACATGGACAAATGTATTGTGAATTTAGTCAGCAGCAATTTTTCTAAGAAAGCAACATCTAGCAACCAGATTTCTTCAACTACAAAACGTGGTCATGAAATTAGTAGCAAATCTGTTTCATCGAAGAATAGCACAATTCCTAAAGTAAAAATTTCAAAAAAGAAAGCCATGAATGGCTGTACAAAGAATGTATTTGAAAAGAAAATAATATCAACAAATAAAAAAGAAACTTCTGACCATAAAACTTATGAGAGAAAGGAATCATGTGAGAGTAAAAAAGAGAATCATGAAAGTAAAAAAGAAATTTCAGAAAACAAAAAGGAAATGCCAGAAAGTAAAAAGGAATTTCAGGAAAATAAAAAAGAAGTTAATGAAAATAAGCGAGAGATACACGAGAATAAAAAAGAGAAGAATCAGCATCCTGGGCATATCCATAAATATAGTATATCTGAATATAAAAAAGAGACTAGTAATTACAAATCTGTAACCACTAGTAATCCAACTACAATCATATTATCAAAAAAGATTCCTACTTCAGCCGTCCAGTCTATCCTAACATTTTCACCAACTTCTATGTCTTCCACCTCTAGTAAGAACTCAACACGTTCATCTCCTAGAAAATATGATCCTAAAGTACCTGAAGATAAAAGTCTTGTGACAAGATCCAGTGCTTATGCAAAAACTAATCCAATACAGATAAAATTACCTCCTGTACCTCATTTTCCAGAAAAGACTTATGCCAAAAAAGACAGGCTAATAAGTGAATGGTTCCCCAAAAAGGACTTGACTAATAATGCTCGGAGAGACTCAGCACCTTTGATTATAGGTTTAGTACCTGCCTCAAGTCCAGGTTTAAATGCTAGAGCAAAAAATCCTGGTGGAGCATTTGAGAGAAATACCTAAAACATTTTCTTTGGTTTGGTGATTCAGATTTATGCAAAACTATTTTTCTCATGTAATGTTCAACAATGATACATTCTAGTTTTTTAATGAAAATGCAACTTTTGTTTTAATCTTGACATACTAATTTACACTTTTAAAGATTGTTTCCACTGTTGTAATACAGTAACAAATTTGTTAGCATTTGGTTAGAATGAAAAATAGTCCATCGATTGTCAGATTTATATTTATTTTCTTTAAATGAATGAATATATGTATAATATAATGAATGAAGAGGAAAATAACAGAGTTTAATAGTCATGATAAAGTTATCAATAATTAAACATTTTTAAATAATTTTAAACTGTTGAAAAATTTCAAGCATTTTGTGTTTGATTATTAAAAAAATGTAAAGAAAAATTTGTGTTTTGATAATGTGAAGGTTTGTCACTGGAAATATCTTGACCACTAAATTGTTAAAACTTTCTTAAAACAATTAAAATGGGGAAAACATTGTTTGAATGTATCTAACATAATCATAGAAAAAAAATATGCCCATATTTGCAAACTTTTGTTTTCTTTATTTAATTGAATTCTAAAAATTACTTTAAAAGGATATAATAATATTTTATTTCAAGTTTGCTATTAAATTCCCTCCCCTCTATCTTTGGGGAATGTATAATTTAATCAATATTATTATTTACACATACAGTGTAATAAAGCCTTCTCGTCCATAAAAAAAGCTGCATCAGAGGCTATACTGCAGTGTAATTCATATAAATTTGCAATTTTAACAAATAAACGGAATTCATGCAGAATTAATTTCAAATAAGAATACAAAATCCATATCTTTTCTATTTAAACGTAACAGTTAACTACAGCAGTTTAATTAAATTCTAAAATTTAATTAAGTAAATTACATTATTGAATTTTTCTGAAATTATACTATGTATCATTTTTATAAGTGGTTCAAATAATAATTTTCTTTTGTTAATTTTTCCCTCCTGTGGACTTATGGTAGTATATTTAACAGCTGCCAAATAATCTAGAATATGGAACAGCTGATTTACTTAATAAAAGTTAGTTTAAGATGTTAATATTATTTTTTAATTTCATGTTTTTCTTATTATACAAGTTTCAAAGTACTTTGTTCTGAAAAAGTTTTCATATGCTGAATTCTTTTGCTTTTTTGATGTTCAAACAAATTGCATTATGAATTTCGTTGAAATTTGTGATTTTACATGTGGATTCTACTTTATTAATTAAAAAAATATCCCAATTCTGTTTCGGATATCATGAAAAATAGTTTTATAAAAAGAATTTCAGTTGACTAAAATGAAATTCATGTTTCATTTATATTATACCTGTCTGTAAAATGGAAGGCCTTGATTTTATCATTTAAAAAGTGTCACTAAACTGTATGATTAAATATTCAATTTTGGTTCCAATTTTCATTTTTAGATTGACATTTTTTATGTCATTATAATGCAAGTGATGATAAATGCTTTATTCAATTAGATAAATTTGTTTCAGCAATGCTTACACATACTTGAAAGAACATAAATGAAAAATAAGCATAAAATATAATATATATGAATTCTTTTAAAGAATCTTTTCTGTAAACTTGTATATAAAAAGAATGTCATTTAGTGCTGTTTACAAAACTGTGTATTTGCTTTAAGTCCATATATGTACAGCAATGTGTTTCATGTTTCAACCTTTTGTCATAAACATATTTCAAATAAAATGAAAGAAAAAGTTAAATTTCTTTGTTATGTTTGCAACAATTTTATTACATCAATTGATCATTTTACAAAAATTCTCTAAATTATCACAGTACATTTTAAAATGTTACAAAAGAAAGGCTATGAGGAAACACTGAATTTGCATTCATATGTATTCAAAAATCTAAACTGGTAAAGCAATTTATATGAAAAATAAAATTTTGTCAATTAATTCTTACTTATATTTTAAGACTTTTAACATGAGTTTCAAAGTTAAGAGATATAGTATCAGAAATAAAATGCATAAGCTACTTACTTTTAATTACTCTTATCTTCTACTATTATTTTAATTATGATAAAATGGTTAAATTGTTCAAGGCTAGTTTAATGCTTGCTTTTCTTTAAAATAAAAATTTAAGAGAAATGCTTAAAAAAAAAAAAAGAGTATATACTTAAAATTATGAAATAAAAATTATAAACTGCATTATAAAGAATTATTTTTCTTTCCTGAATGGCTTAATAATATGAATATATAGTAAATTACAAAAGTATAATAGGTTTGAAGTATGCACAAAATTACTACAATAGTAAATATCTTTCAGCAGATACACAGAATGACAACAGCTACATATATGGACAAACTTAGAAATCAGTTAAGTATGTAATTTCAGAATCTATACTACATTCAAAGAATCTTTAACAGGAGAATAAACTGTACATCAATACATGTATGATGGTTAAAGATCACAAAACATTCTAAGATACTGATCTGCAGAATCTTACACTAAAAGTTTTTAATTAAAATCTCTGTCTTTTAAAATAATCGGTGCAACCATAGACCAAAGGTAGAGCAAAATGCAAAGCCAGCTGGATATTATTTTCACCCACATTGAAGCTTGGTTTGTATTCGACAAATGGTCACGTTCCGTGCTTGGGCTAAAATAAATCAATCAGTTTTAAACAAACAATATAACACACCTTGGCAGTAAAATACATCAAATAATAGCACAAAAGAAATAATACATTATTAATATTCAAATGATAGTTTGCATAATTTTTCTTAATGAGGTACAACTAATATCATTCACAGCAAGGGTATATTTTAATTTTGATGAAGTCGTGAACTCATTTCACTAGAGTATACGGAAGCTGACAATATATTCACTTATTTCCTCCGTTAATTTTTCCAGCATATGATTAGAGACTTGATTTATACTAATATTGTTAGCAGATATCGATAAATAGGAAAGTATATAGTGTAAGTAAAAAAGAATGATTAAAATTAATAACTTAAAGTACAGAAATATAAGTACATCTTCTCATATGTATCTCATACTGGTTGTGAAGGGAATGATTAAATTAAGAACAAAGTACAGAAATATAAGTACATCTTCTCATATGTACTTTGTTCTTAATTTAATCATTCCCTTCACAACCAGTATATAATGCAAAATTTCCTCTCTAATTTTTAAGATAAAATTAATAAAACAAGTGGAGAAATATGCAAATATATTTATTTGCGTAATTATTGATGTTATAAGCAGTATAGCATTTTTTAAAATTTTATCTCTAATGAATTGAGGTATATAAGATTAAAGTTTTAATTTTAAACGATGATATTCTAGAATTTCTATTCTTTGTTTGCCAATTTCATTCATTAATGAATTAGAATTAAAAATAATACAGTAGCAATGGAGGAAATACAATATATGTACACTGCTCAAAAAAAAAAAAAAAAAAAAAAAAAGGGACAGTGCTATATCTCCCGTTCTACTGGGCCGATTGACAAAATTCAAATTGCGTTTTTCATGTCTCGAAAGCGCGACTTAGGATATATATTAGATTTATATATAGCACTATTCTAACATAGGTATTTTGACACAAAATCGGACTTTTTCTGAAATAACATACCAATTTTTTTCCATATTTCGATTCTACGTCTCAAATTATGCCAGAATACCAAGTTTTGTAAAAATCGTACGAGTAGTTTTTAAAATATTAGCTCTCAAAATTTTAGCTCCTCAATGTTAATTGAATTTGGCAAATATTTATTAATATCTCTTTTTTTTATTAAACTTTTTTGATTTTTTCTCTCACATTTCGAAATTTAGGTTCATTCCAAATAAAATTTATCCCATTTTTTGTGTTTTATTTTTTAAAATTTCTATTTTTAAATAATTTTTATAAATTTTTCGAAAAAAAATTTTGAATTATAACCTATAAAATTTTTACCATCATCTTAAAGTAGGTGTATTTTTAAGCATATCTGCAAAAAATTAGACTTTTTTATTCAAAATTTTCTAAGATATACACGAATTTACATATTTTCGAGTTTTGAAATTTGGCATCTTTTTTTTGAGCGATAATAACGCCAAATGTGGTCTATGGATTTTTGTTACAGTGAATTGCCACAGCTATTTTTAACCTTAAATTTCAAGTAAGATTTTACGGAGAATTAATTATATGAACATTTTTTCCCTCAATGAAGCGTAATAAATATTTATTAATACTATATGAAAAGCTATTTTTTTAAATTATAGATGATATTATTCAAATTTTTAACTATTTTTTTTTAAATTTCTCTCTATCTTCCTTTTTTTTAAAAAAAAAAATAAGAGTAAATTTTTACCTTCGGCGTTTTATCGTCTGCTACTTTACTTCGTTTAAATCGAATTGTCTAAAACTGAGAATTTTCGTTTGATATTTATTTGAATTTTATGACATTAACTGCATAATTTATTTCTAAACAAACTGTTGCTTTTGAAGTGGCTGAAAGAGCGGCTGATACTATCATCCACATTTTTAAAGCACAGTATATTTTTATAGAAACATAATATTTAGAATAATCATTTTTATAAAAGTCAAATTATGATATAAACATACAGCCCTCTAGAGACTGAATTAATGGAAGTTCAATGGTTATGTAGAAATGATCTGCAGCTACTTAATGGCTGGATAAGTCAGCAGATTCTGTGGACAAGTAAGAATAATTCTATAAAACGCCACCCAACATTCAGGATTCAATTAACAACGAGGATACGATGTTTATTAAATGAATTTAAGAAATTTTAAAACATAAAAAACCAACTCATTTTTATCCTAAAATGTATTTTTGTGCGTAGCGTATTTTCATTATATCCTTAAAATTCTAATTTAGAATAATTGTCAAGAACTGAATCCTAATCATCAGTAATATAATAAGTAATTATTACGGTTATTAATAAATCCTTCTTATAAAGTAATTGCAAATATTTCAAAAAACTTTCTGTCTGAATGCAAATATTTTTCTATGCAAATATTTTAAATTTTATATTAATCAAGATTGCACACGATATTATTTATTTGCACTTCAATTCTTACCGTCAGTTCCAGTAGAAGTTACAAATCAATTATATTTAATTAAGGATTGGATTGGATTATTTAATTATGGCAAAGCACACGAGGGCTATCTGCCTAAAGGGAGGGATGCCTTCGTGGAGGACTTTCTAAGGTAAACTGGCTCGTATACACGTTATACATGGGGAAAACCACGAAAAACGCCGATGCGGCCAGCCCGTTCGCGGAGATTCGAACCTCGGACCGAACTACCAATGATCAGCGTCTTTACCGCTCGGCCGCTGGTGGGCTATTTAATTAAGGAATGACCATCTAAGTTTAGAAACAGCGTACCGTAACAGCAATTCAATTATTGGCGCCGTATCTTTCATGTTACTCCCGATTGGCAAGCTACATGATTTTTAATGAGTATTCGGGTTTTGCTAGTAACTTCCCTTGGAAATCGCGCTTAAACTAGGTTAGTTGGTTATTTGAACATAGAAAGAACATGGGAGCTATTTGATTAAGATGCTTTCATAGAGAACCTAGAAAACTACGAAAACCAACCATGCAAGCCTGGGTTAGACTGCAGGCAAAAAAGATTATTCATTTTAACAAACAATTCAACTAATTTATGCAATTCTAAAGGTATCAACAGAGGCTGCTCAAATGCAAGTAAAGTCTCCAATTTAAAACAGACATATTTTTGTTCAGTTTTCAAGTTTATAAATTAACTTGTCAAAATATAACCTCTTGTCATTATGTTTATCATTTTTGCAGCAATTCCAAAACATATTTAAAAAACTCGGAAATTGTTGAAAGTTCAAGTTTACTTTTATAGTTTGCACAGTCTGCAAAAAGCATAATTCGAATTAAGGAACAAAATATTTAACTGTTTTGCTTAACTTTCGTTATACATAAAATGCGCACACGAAAACGTATTCTGCGTTGCGCAACGCAAATGCGCAAAGTCTTACGCAAGCCTATGCAATTGTCTGCGCAGAATTTTAGCTGAATATAGATCATTCCGTATCAATTAATTGAATTAACAATCTTCAAATGTAGGCAATGGTGAGGCTCCAATTAAATCTCCAATTTAATATTTTATTTATAAATATTTAAAATATTGTTGTATTCTTAGACACAAAAAGCAGAATTTAAGTTTTGTTAACTTGTTAGTAAACTACAAGCCGTAGTGTGCAAATGAATATTCAATTTCTTTTGCAATAATTGTATTCACTTAATATTCTTGGAATATGAGTTAAAGAAGGAACGTTCTCGAAGATTAAAGAAGTGTTTAAATCCAGTGATATTACGTTTGTCTTACAAGCTTAGGATCAAAACGATTCTGCAATTGCCCGAGTAGTAGTTGACTTGTAAATGGCTGTGAATTAAGCAGATGACTTTTAATCTTACGTTTTCAGTCAGAAAACGTATTCCAAATGTTTTGTATTGCATGACAATGCATCTTTTCATTATTCAATAACCAATCGGAGAACCGCTTGTGCTCCGAAAATAAGTATGTGTACTCAATTGTCCTGCATGTTCTTCAAATTTGTCTTCTTATGATTTTTTCCTCCCCAAAACTAAAGGCCTCTCAAAGGAAAGTTTTTTTGACATTGAAGAGACAAAAGGAGTATGACATCTACTTTTAGAGGCATGTCAAAAACAGATCTCTACAAGCCTTCTCTTCCATTACATGTTGTGCATTCAGACAAATAGTTGCATCAGCGTAAATTCTATAATCTATTTTTTGTTACACTCTTATTACTTTATTAACATACAGTGAATATATACTAAACCTTTTACTTCAGCTTCAGTAATTCGGAATTTTTGACGGAATTGTTGTCGGAACTAGGACTTAGAAGATAAGTCAAATTGAATATTTCGATAATTCAATAAATTCATGGTCGAAGTTTCAATATTTTATTTTCGGAGGGAGGGGAAATTTTTTCAGTTTTGGTCTAATATCCTAAGTATATTTGCTTCGATTCTTTATTTTTTCCATAAAAGCGAAAATCTTACGCATGGTATACATATAACGCATAGCTTCAAATTAAAATTTAATAATATACAGGGTGGTTATAATTAAAATTTCACTTTGAAACGGTCATAAAAGGAAAACTACTGGATCAAATGTTATCAAACTTTGTAACCGTGTAAAGGATGTCATGGGAATTTATTTTCCGCGAAAAAAAGAAAGTTGGAAACCTCACCACCAGGAAAAAATGGCGCTGTAGGCAATATTGTTAAACGAAATATGGGTCGGAATCTAACTTAACCTTTTGTTACACGGGTTTAATATGTTGTATACCCTTAAGAAACAAATTCAATTTCCCAAACATCGAAAACGTAGAAGGAATAACAAGTTGACTACAGCGCTAACAATTACTTAAGTAAAGCGTTTTTCTTGACGCTTTGAACTGGGATTGCAACTTCGATAAAAGCTAAACACTGACAGTAAGCGAAAGGAAGGAACAAAGGAAATTGCAACAAAGAATGATTGACGTGTGATTTAACAACACCTGAAAGCAATGAGTAATGCAGTAACGTGATGGGAAAAGCACTGAGAAATTATTCGGCGTTTCCGTGAATGTCTGAATGAGGGCGCTTTGGGCGAC